GAGCTGCTTCGCCTCCGCCCTGGACAAAACCGCTCTCTTGTCGAACTCCAGGAGCGCCTTCCGCAGGGACGCCGGCGGCCCGCACTCCAGGAACTCTCGCGGCGGCGGCCGCAGGATCAGCATGTTCCGCATGCACGTGGCGCGGGAGAACATGACGTAGAGGTGCAGCCACCACTGCTCGTCCGACATGCCCGTGCGGCCAGCGTCCTCGTCTCTCGCGCAGTCGATGGTGACGCCCTTGCGCAGCGTCTGGCCCTGCGACAGCGTGGAGGTCAGGTAGGACGCGTGCGTCAGGGTGAACCCCGAGCGGCGCACGCTGTGCGCCCCCGAGCTCTGCCATGTGAACTCCCTTTCGCTGGGCCTGAACATCAGCAAGCTCCGCGCCCGCGCCTCGGCCTGGCCGTCGTCGTCGGCGCCTTCGGCGCCCTGTCGCAGCACCTCGGCGACCTGAGGAGCCCAAAAACTTCCTTGTTGCATCCAAAGTGTGGCCTGGGAACTGCGTTCTGGCAGCGCGAGAACCCAACATTGACGACAGTTACAGGTTTTGGATGACCCGCTCGGATTACCAACATGATCTGCGGGCCCCATAGGGAGGGGGCTCCCGCCTGAGACTTCCTCGCAGTTCACTCACAGACGAGGCTCCCGCCTGAGACTTCCTCCATATTCAGGCTTGAGGAGCCCAAAAGTGACGACAGTTACAAGGTTCCGATGACCCGCTCGGATTACCAACATGATCTGCGGGCCCCATAGGGAGGGGGCTCCCGCCTGAGACTTCCTCACAATTCACTCAAGACGAGGCTCCCGCCTGAGACTTCCTCCAAATTCAGGCTTGACGAGCCCAAAAGTGACGACAGTTACAGGGTTCCGATGACCCGCTCGGATTACCAACATGATCTGCGGGCCCCATAGGGAGGGGGCTCCCGCTGAGCTTCCTCGCAGTTCACTCACAGACGAGGCTCCCGCCTGAGACTTCCTCCATATTCAGGCTTGAGGAGCCCAAAAGTGACGACAGTTACAGGGTTCCGATGACCCGCTCGGATTACCAACATGATCTGCGGGCCCCATAGGGAGGGGGCTCCCGCCTGAGACTTCTTCACAATTCACTCAAAGACGAGGCTCCCGCCAGAGACTTCCTCCAAATTCAGGCTTGACGAGCCCAAAAGTGACGACAGTTACAGGGTTCCGATGACCCGCTCGGATTACCAACATGATCTGCGGGCCCCATAGGGAGGGGGCTCCCGCTTGAGCCTTCCTCAGAATTCACTCACAGACGAGGCTCCCGCCTGAGACTTCCTCCATATTCAGGCTTGAGGAGCCCAAAAGTGACGACAGTTACAGGGTTCCGATGACCCGCTCGGATTACCAACATAATCTGCGGGCCCCATAGGGAGGGAGCTCCCGCCTGAGACTTCCTCCCAATTCACTCACAGACGAGGCTCCCGCCTGAGACTTCCTCCATTTTCAGGCCTGGGGAGCCCAAAAGTGACGACAGTTACAGGGTTCCGATGACCCGCTCGGATTACCAACATGATCTGCGGGCCCCATAGGGAGGGGGCTCCCGCCTGAGACTTCCTCACACTTTACTCAACGATGATGAGGATGAGGATGATGAGTGGTGGTGAAGATGAGTGGTGAAGAGGATGATGATTGATTGTGGGTGGTGGTGGCGATGATGATGTTTGAATGAGGATGATGCCGATACCGATGATGACGATGATGTTCGTGAGCGTGTGAGAGAGTGCGAGTGATGATGATGTGTGTGTGAATGAGTGCGAGGAGAAGAGGGGGTGAGTGAGATCTCTCTCCTGCGCGGGGGTGTGCAGAGAAAATTACTCCGACGGAAGAACCCCACATAAGAATCCTCTGGGCGAATCTGGAAAAAGCCATCACCGTCGTCCTCGTGGTTGGTGAGGCGTCCTGGCTGTCTCTTCTGCGTATATTTCCTCTCGCCTTGGCGCGGGCCCCCCTTCCACTCCTTACGTTGTCCCCATCCTCGCCCCCCTGTTTGTTCCGCGCCCCGCCACCTCCTCCCCTTCCTGTTGCATGAGCGCGCATGTCGATGTTCCTCGGCGCCGTCGCCGCCACGGCCAGCACAGGCGCGTTCTCTACTGGTCACGTCGCGCAGCCGTTGGGGCAACCCCGCGGGCCAGGCTGTCGGGACAACCCCGCGAGCCGTTGGCGCGCAAGACCAAGCCGTTGGGACAACCCCGCGGGCTTCGAGCGAGGCGCAGCCGCGCTCAGGCGGAAGGCAGCACGAAGCCCAGCTCTGCCGCGAGCTGCTTCGCCTCCGCCCTGGACAAAACCGCTCTCTTGTCGAACTCCAGGAGCGCCTTCCGCAGGGACGCCGGCGGCCCGCACTCCAGGAACTCTCGCGGCGGCGGCCGCAGGATCAGCATGTTCCGCATGCACGTGGCGCGGGAGAACATGACGTAGAGGTGCAGCCACCACTGCTCGTCCGACATGCCCGTGCGGCCAGCGTCCTCGTCTCTCGCGCAGTCGATGGTGACGCCCTTGCGCAGCGTCTGGCCCTGCGACAGCGTGGAGGTCAGGTAGGACGCGTGCGTCAGGGTGAACCCCGAGCGGCGCACGCTGTGCGCCCCCGAGCTCTGCCATGTGAACTCCCTTTCGCTGGGCCTGAACATCAGCAAGCTCCGCGCCCGCGCCTCGGCCTGGCCGTCGTCGTCGGCGCCTTCGGCGCCCTGTCGCAGCACCTCGGCGACCTGAGGAGCCCAAAAACTTCCTTGTTGCATCCAAAGTGTGGCCTGGGAACTGCGTTCTGGCAGCGCGAGAACCCAACATTGACGACAGTTACAGGTTTTGGATGACCTGCTCGGATTACCAACATGATCTGCGGGCCCCATAGGGAGGGGGCTCCCGCCTGAGACTTCCTCGCAGTTCACTCACAGACGAGGCTCCCGCCTGAGACTTCCTCCATATTCAGGCTTGAGGAGCCCAAAAGTGACGACAGTTACAGGGTTCCGATGACCCGCTCGGATTACCAACATGATCTGCGGGCCCCATAGGGAGGGGGCTCCCGCCTGAGACTTCTTCACTCAAAGACGAGGCTCCCGCCTGAGACTTCCTCCAAATTCAGGCTTGACGAGCCCAAAAGTGACGACAGTTACAGGGTTCCGATGACCCGCTCGGATTACCAACATGATCTGCGGGCCCCATAGGGAGGGGGCTCCCGCCTGAGACTTCCTCGCAGTTCACTCACAGACGAGGCTCCCGCCTGAGACTTCCTCCATATTCAGGCTTGAGGAGCCCAAAAGTGACGACAGTTACAGGGTTCCGATGACCCGCTCGGATTACCAACATGATCTGCGGGCCCCATAGGGAGGGGGCTCCCGCCTGAGACTTCTTCACAATTCACTCAAAGACGAGGCTCCCGCCAGAGACTTCCTCCAAATTCAGGCTTGACGAGCCCAAAAGTGACGACAGTTACAGGGTTCCGATGACCCGCTCGGATTACCAACATGATCTGCGGGCCCCATAGGGAGGGGGCTCCCGCCTGAGCCTTCCTCAGAATTCACTCACAGACGAGGCTCCCGCCTGAGACTTCCTCCATATTCAGGCTTGAGGAGCCCAAAAGTGACGACAGTTACAGGGTTCCGATGACCCGCTCGGATTACCAACATGATCTGCGGGCCCCATAGGGAGGGAGCTCCCGCCTGAGACTTCCTCCCAATTCACTCACAGACGAGGCTCCCGCCTGAGACTTCCTCCATTTTCAGGCCTGGGGAGCCCAAAAGTGACGACAGTTACAGGGTTCCGATGACCCGCTCGGATTACCAACATGATCTGCGGGCCCCATAGGGAGGGGGCTCCCGCCTGAGACTTCCTCACACTTTACTCAACGATGATGAGGATGAGGATGATGAGTGGTGGTGAAGATGAGTGGTGAAGAGGATGATGATTGTGTGAGGAGATGAGAGGTGATGCTGATGTTGATGATGAGAGAGTGTGAGTGAGTGTGAGTGTGAGTGAGTGGTGATGATGATGAGTGAGTGAGTGTGTGCGAAGGCAGAAGAGGAGAGGGGGTGGGGTGAGTGTTCCTGCGCGGGGTGTGCAGAGAAAACAAGAACCCCACTTTGGATGTGGGGAACAAGAACCCCACTTTGGATGTGGGGAACAAGAACCCCACTTAGGATGTGGAGAACAAGAACCCCACTTAGGATGTGGGGAATGATGATGATGATGATGATGATGATGATGATGATGATGATGATGATGATGATGATTATGATAAGTATGTGAGTGACTGAGCGTGTGAGAGAGCGCGAGTGATGATGCTGATGTTGATGATGAGAGAGTGTGAGTGAGTGTGAGTGTGAGTGAGTGGTGATGATGATGAGTGAGTGAGTGAGTGTGCGAAGGCAGAAGAGGAGAGGGGGTGGGGTGAGTGTTCCTGCGCGGGGTGTGCAGAGAAAACAAGAACCCCACTTTGGATGTGGGGAACAAGAACCCCACTTTGGATGTGGGGAAAAATGCCAGGATTGAAAAAGTCACATCGTCGGAGATCAGGGTCTCTGTCTGTCTGTCTGTCTGTCTGTCTGTCTGTCTCTCTCTCTCTCTACTTGTTCTCCCCTTAGTGCCCCTCCCGGGTCAGTCGCGAAATCGGATCGGATCGGCAACGGATCGGATCGCCAGCGAATCGCACCGAATCGAATCGAAACCGGATCGTAGGCGGCCCTGCCTCCCCCCGAAAAAACCCTCTCGAGACCCAGGCCTCCGACGCCATGATTGTTTCATCACGCCGACCCCCAGAGGTCTCGACCCATTCCCCGGGGCCGCGGCCGGTGACCCAGAGTCGTCCCCTGAAGGCCCCGAGGCCCGCTCAGGGCCCCCAGGGGCCGGAGATAGCGAGAACCCCCCCGTTGTGACTTTTTCATGACCCGATGGGGGTCGGGGGGGGGGGGGCGGGGCCCCCGCCTCTGCAGTGCGCGCCGGGTTTCGTGCGGCCTGCGCGCGCGCAAGAGGCGCTGCCTGCCGGAGGGAGCCTGACGCGCCACGGGCCCGCCTCAGCAGCGCCGCGCGGGGGCTCGCCCACCGCCGTCTCCCCCGCCTCGGTTGGGTGGGGGCGGGTGGGGAGGAGGAGGGGGAGGAGGGGGAGGAGGAGGGGAGGAGGAGGAGGAGGAGGGGGAGGAGGAGGAGGAGGAGGAGAGGAGGAGGAGGCGGAGGAGGAGGAGGAGGAGGAGGAGGAGGCGGAGGAGGAGGAGGAGGAGGAGGAGGAGGAGGAGGAGGAGGAGGAGGAGGAGGAGGAGGAGGACGAGGAGAAGGAGGAAAAGGAGGAGGAGGAGGAGGAGGCGGAGGAGGAGGAACAGGACGAGATGGACGATGATGATGATGATGATGATGATGATGATGATGATGAGGAGGAGGAGGAGGAGGAGGAGGAGGAGGAGGAGGAGGAGGAGGAGGAGGAGGAGGATCACCGAAGGCCCCAGTGCCGCCGGCCGCATGCGTCCCGCACACCCAATTCGGCACACTCCTCACACGTTTCGTAGCCCCATAGGGAGCTCCACCGAAGGCCCCAGTGCCGCCGCCCGCACGCGTCCCGCGTGGCCCCATATGAAGCTGCACCGAAGGCCCCAGTGCCGCCGCCCGCATGCGTCCTGCACACCCAATTCGGCACACCCCTCAAACGTTTCGTGGCCCCACAGGGAACTGGTGGTCCCGACAACTTTCCTAAGGCCGATTTCTTCGTCGTCGTCGTCGTCCGTCGTCGACGTCCGACCTGCGCGTAGCGCGGCGCCCGCAGCCTTGAACTTTGGAGTGCGCGGGCAAACAGGAAGGAACAAAAAGGGGAGGAATCGGGCGCGATCCTCGTGTGGGGCGTGCCGACATGGGCGTCGCGGCGCGCGGGCGCTGCCGTCGGGGTTCCCAGGAAAGCTCCTAGCGGAGGCTACGCTCAGTGTCACGAATTCTCAGAGTCAGGCAGACCCAAACCATTCACAGTCGTATGCATTTACATTCGGCGACTCCATGCTCGCAGTCATGCGAATAGAATCCATCGCGCGCATATTCATTCATAATCAGACTCGCTCGCGCTTAGACTCGCCCGCGCTCAAGCTCTCATACTCAGACCTATCGTTTTGGTTCGCGTTGTGCACCCTATCACACAATTCGGCACACCCCTCATACGGTTCGTGACCCCATAGGGAACGCCACCGAAGAATATGTTCACAATTGCGGTATTCACAACTGCGTATGGTTGGGTCCTTCGCCAGGCAAATTTCGTGACCCGACACTGAGATCCGACATGGCAGAAAAACTGCAACATCGCACAACATCACGTCCCGAGCCCTAGACCACATCTTTCTGCGTCATTTCTCGAGCCGGATCGATATGTGAGGGTCCCCGGGGCCCGAAAAAAGGCGAAAACGCCAAGCTCGAAAAATTGAGACGCCAAGATCTCAGGGGCTGGCATGGTCTGGCATCCCGGCCGCGAGGGCACAGACACGAATATGTTCGTTGCTCGGGAGGCCGGGAGAAGATCGCCTCCAGTCCGCCGCCCCCAGGGATGCCCCCACTGGGCTCCGGGCACCAGCCTGGTCTCCTCGCGATCAGGTCCTGCGCCGCCGTTGTTGTCACCGCCGCCGTCGCCGCCGTCGTCGGCGTCCTCGGGGCCCCAAGGCGGCGAGCAGGTGTCTTCCTCCCCATCCTCTTCCGAGAATCCCCAATGACCTCCTCCTCCTCCTCCTCGTCCTCGTCCTCCTCCTCCCTCCCCTCCTCCTCCTCCTCCTCCTCCTCCTCCTCCTCCTCGTCCTCGTCGTCCTCCTCCTCCTCCTCCTCCTCCTCCTCCTCCTCTCAAGCCTGCTGGGAAGGACCTCCAGGCCCGCAAACGGCCTCAACGTCCGGAACAAATTCTCCAAGACGGCTCAAGATGGCCTCCAAGACGGCCAAGATGGCCCAAGATGGCCTCCAAGTCCGCCCAAGATTGTTCAAAACGGCCTCCAAGACGGCCTAAGAGTCTAATTTACCTCCAAGTTCACTCAAGAAGCCTCCAAGACGGCCCAAGATGTCTCCAAGAGGTCCTCCAGGAGGGCCCGAAGAGGCCAAAATCATTAATTTTCCATGGATTTTTGAAGGATTTTGGAATTTGCCTCTTCTCGGCATTCCGACGGTTCAAGACGGCCCAAGAGGCCGCCAAGATCGCCCACGAGGTTTTCAAGAGGGCCCCATGACGGCCCAAGAGGCCTCCAAGACGGCCCCAAGACGGCCCAAGAGACCTCCACGACGCCCAAGATGGCCTCCAAGACGGCCCCGAGACGCCCAAAGAGGACCCCAAGTCGGTTCAGAGAGGCCCCCAAGACGGCTCCCGACGGCGTCAGACGGGTCAGGAACCCACCAAGATGGCCGAAGTTGGCTCGAAGCTGGCACAAGACGGCCCAAGAGGCCTCCAAGAGGGCCTCCAGGAAGGCCAGACAAGGCCCAAAACACGGATTTTCCAAAGTTTTGTTTGTTTGTTTGTTTGTTTGTTTGTTCGTTTGTTTGTTTTCCTTAAGACAAACTAATCAGGATTTTGATATCTGCTTCTTTTCGGCCTTCTGACTGCCCGAGACGGCCCAAGAGCACCCAAAGATCGCCCAAGAGGCCCAAGACGGCCCCAAGAGGCCCCCCTTAGAAGGCCCAAGAGGCCTCCAAGACGCTCCAGATGGCCTCCAAGACGGCCTAAGTGCCCTCCAAGACGTCATCCAAGAAGGCCCGAAAGGGTCAAAATGGCCTCCCGACGGCCACGATGACCTTCAATATGCCCACGTGTTCCCTGAAGGCTTTCCAAACCGATTCGGGGAACACATGGTCCGATAGCTTGGCAGGTCTGGCCTCAACGTTTGGCCACATAGGCACTTCCAAAAAGGCAGGGGGCGGCTGCCGGCGTGCTGACTCCTTTCGCTTTCGGTTTTGGTTCTTTACCAAAAGAACTCCCCCTGTTTCGGCCCCGCCCGCCGGGGTCCCGGAATGGCCCGGGAAGGGTGGTTCCAAAAGTTGTTCCTGCTCCAGATGGCTCCAAGATGGCTTCCAAGATGGCCTCCAGGTTCGCCCAAGACGGTCCAAGATGACCTCCAAGACGGCTCAGGAGAGTCCAAGATGCCTCCAAGTTCGCACAAGAAACCTCTCAGACGGTCCAAGACGGCCCCAGAGGCCTCCAAGAGGCCTCCAAGATGGCCCAAGAGGCCTCCAAGAGGTCCCCCACGAGAGCCCGAAGAGGTCAAAATCAATATTTTCCTTAGGTTATTGAGGGATTTTGGCTTTTGTTCTTTTCGAGCCTTCCGACGGCTCACGACGGCCCAAGGAGCCTGAAAGATCGCCCCCAGAGCGCCCAAGAGGCCTCCAAGATGGCCCTATGACGCCCAAGAGGCCCCTAAGACGGCCCCAAGACGGCGCCACGACGGCTCCAGAGGCCTCCAAGACGCCCAAGACGGTCTCCAAGACGGCCAAGATGGCCTCCAAGATGCTTCCAATACGGTCAAGATGAGCTTCAAGACGGCCAAGATGGAGACGGCCAAGATGGCCCAAGATGGGCCCGAGAGGTTCCAAGATTGCCCCAAAGGAGTCCAAGAGGTGCTCCAGGAAGGGCCGAGGGAGCCAAAATCATGAATTTTCCTTAGGTTTCCAATGATTTTAGTTTTTCCTCGGTTTTGGTGTTCCGACCGCCTCAGACGGCCCAAGGAGTCCCGAAACTAGTCCCAGAGGCTTCCCAGATGGCTCCAGAACGGCCCAAGAGGCCTTCAAGCCAGCCCCAAGAGGGCCCCAAGACGGCCCAAGAGGTCTCGAAAACGGCCAATATGGTCTTCAAGATACCTCAAGACTGCCAAGATGACCTCCAAGACGACCAGCATGGCATCCAAGACGGCAGAAATATCCCCAACATAGCCGAAGGTGGCCCAAGAGGCGCTCAATCTGCCTCCAAGACAGCCCAATATGCCTCCAAGACGTCCTCCAGGAAGGCCCGAAGAAGCCAACATCAATGATTTTCTATGGTTACTGAATGACTTGGGCATTTTCTTTTTTCCAGCTTTCCGACGGCCCAAACGGCCCAAGAGGCCCCCAACATCGCCCCAAGAGCGCCCGAGAGGCCTCCAAGATGGCCCCATGACAGGCTAAGAGGCCCCCAAGACAACAAGACCCCAAGACGGCCCAAGAGGCCCCCAAGACGCCCAATATGGCCTCCAAGATGGCCAAGATGGCCTCCAAGATGCTTCCAAGACGGCCGAGAAGGCCTCCAAGATGGCGAAGATGGGCCCAAGATGCACCCAAGACGGCCCCAGATGGCCTGAAGATGGCTTTACACTGCCCAAAAAGGCCAGCCAGAGGCCTCCAAGACGGCCCAAAACCCCTCCAAAACGTCCTCCAGGAAGCCCGAAAACTCAGAAACCACCTGGTCCAATAGCTCGCCCGACTCAGTGTTCCCCGAAGGCGTTCGAAACCCACTCGGGGGACGCGTGGCCCGATAGCTTGGCCAAGCTCAAACCCAAATTTAAGCCACGCATGCGCTTTCAAAAAGGCAGAGGGCGGCGGTGATTCGCCGTAGGCGTCTTCGATAATCAGGACGCACGATGAGGATGCAAGGGCCTTGGAAGGCCATGTCGGCACTTTGCGAGCGGGGCGTGGCCAGCGAAAGCGGCCAAGGATGGGCCGAAGGGGGAGGATGCAAGGGTAGCCCTGGGAAATCGCTCGTTCTTGCTATGCGGGTTGACTCTAGCTTGGGCCGCCTGGGCCGCCACGGCTCCTCGTGCGCGCCTCTGCGCGCATGCGCGGAAGGTGATCCGTAGTCGTCAGTGGTTGGGCCTTCCCGCCGGTCGGCACCACGTGTGAGCCTCTTGAGGGGAGCTCGGCTGGGTGTGAACGGGCCGTCGGGGCATCCACATGTTCAGGCCGAGTCCCGCCCGACGGCTCCTGGCCCTCTGTAGTACTGCGCCCTGCCTCCTCCTCCTCACTCTCCTTCTCCTCCTCCTCCTCCTGCTCCTCCGCCTCCGCCTCCTCTTCCTCCTCCTCCTCCTCCTCCTCCTCCTCCTCCTCACTCTCCGTAGCCATTTTGGCTCAAGATGCCTGCACCAGGGGGCTTCCGCGCCCTCGTGCCAAAGCGGGATAGCTCTGTTCCCCGAGCTAGGCAAGGCTGCTTGGCAGCCTGGCAGTGCGCGCGGCGGCCATGGCGCTTCGGGCGTTGGGCAGCGGCAAGCCAGGCGGAGCAGCAACGTGCTGGAGGTGCACTACATGTGGCTACAAGAACTTGGGTTGGCGCGAGCAGTGCAGGCAGCCTGGCTGTCTGGCGTATCGGCCTTCTCATCACGTACCTGGTGGCGGTGGCGGTGCTCGCGGCCCTTTGGGGCGATGGCGTGACGGGCCGCCACAAGGTGAATATCCATGGCATAAGCGTGGGCCTGAGCGCGGAGCCCCTGGGCGCGGAGGAGGTGGGCCTGGTGGCGGGTCTGGCTTCATCAAGCTCACCGACGCCGTGCGGGAGCGGTTCCTCGCACTCAGCGCCGAGGACTTCGCTATCTTCGCCCCCGCAAGCCTGTCGCCCTCTGATCAGCATGCACTACGGCAGGCCCGTTTCCTGCTGCAGCAAGAGTTGGGCTCTCTGTCGGATTGCAAGGCGGTCAAGAGCGCGCAGGTCAAGGCGGACGAGGCTGGCAAGAAGCTCAAGAAAGCACAGCAGGATGCAGAAACTAAGGATCGGCTGGCTGCCGAGGCCCTCCTTGAGGCGGTCAAGCAGAAGAAGTACGTGGAGCAGCTGGAGCAGGAGCTGCGCGTGGCTGTGGCAAAAGCTAAGCAGGAGTTGGAGCAGCAGGAACGTCAGCGGGAAGGTGGAGCAGTCCCAAGAGCCGTTCCCCAGCCGAGTGAGGTCCGCAGCATGGTGGACAAGGGCGCGAGGCTGGCCAAGCTGGTGGAGACCAAGATCGAAGGAGTGGGTCTCGGTGAAGCAGGTGCTGCCCTCAAGGAGCTTCTCTCGACGCTGGTCGACGACCAGTCCAAGGTCGAAGAGGTCCCTCCTGTCCCTGCCCCAGCCACTCCTCGTCCTGAGGAAGCCAGCCAGCCTGAGGCAGCCGCAGGGTCCCATGACGACGCCGTTCAGCCCGAGGACCTCAGCGGTTTCTCCAGCGCCACCTTCGGCGCGGCGATGGAGGAGCTCGGCGGTGACTGCCCTGACAAGCGCAAGCTCCTGGAGCAGTTCGCGGGGAAGGTTGGTAAAGGGATGCGTGTGGGGTAGCAAGACCCGCATGGCCTTCAAGATCGGGGTGCTGAACGTCAACACCTATGCGAACATTGACAAGTGTTTGGGTGGTAGCCTGGCTGACTGCGACGCGCTGTTGTTCCAGGGGGCTCGTTTGCCAAGCTGGCGCACGGTCGACGCCAAAGCTGAATTGAGACGGCGCGGATGGAGAGCCGCAGGGGTGCCTGCGCTCCCGTCTGCCGCGGGCGGCCTGGCCTCGGGTGGTTTGCTCACGCTGTCGCGTATGGTACATGGCCTGGCCCCGATGTTCGGCTCGCAGTCTCCAACTGTTTGCCCAGGACGTGCCTTTGTGATGCACCAGTCTGGATTACCCGCAGGTGGGTTCGTGGTTGTG